AGAGAGACGCATAGAGAGAGAGAGAGAGAGAGAGAGAGAGAGACAGAGAGAGAGAGAGAGAGAGAGAGAGAGAGAGCGAGAGCGAGAGCGAGAGCGAGAGAGGAGAGGAGAGAGAACGACACTTGATGTAGCTCTTGTATCTCCTCCTGCATGTGGTAGCTGCTACATGGTAAATGCTCACGCTCTTTCTGCAGATCATGTATTTCTGTTTTCCGTGTATATACACGTCATGTTCATAAATGTTGTATGTGACGGAACTACGGATGGAAATGAGCTCAAAGCTAAAATCCGGCTCATTTACATTTCAAAGCATTATTTTGTTTAAAATGTTCATTAATGTGCACTGTCCCGGTTCAAATAAACGATTAAATGAAATGAAATCACACACACACACACACACACACACACACACACACACACACACACACACACACACACACACACACACACACACACACACACACACACACACACACACACACACACACACACACACACACACACACACACACACACACACACACACACACACACACACACACACACACACACACACACACACACAACACACACACACACACACACACACACACACACACACACACACACACACACACACACACACACACACACACACACACACACAGTTCCATCCGTTACCTTGAGTTTCTGCGCCTCCCCCCTCACTTTGAGCAGCTCAGTGATGGAGTCCACGAAGCCCTGGAAGTGATGGTTACACATCTTCTCGATCTCCCGGTCGTGGTTCCTGATCCGCACGTCCAGCTTCTCCACGAAGAGGCCATGCTCCCGACCGTCGTACACCGACCTGGAGGAAAACACAACAGGTAAGATATTAAAGGGTCTCCTATTAGACTGTTGTTCATCAATATATTAGAGATATATACAAAACATGTCTCTGAAGTGTTTGCCTCCAAACACCAAACAGATCATTGCAGCGTCCCATAATCCCCTCTGTTTCAGCCCTGTTTCAAAAGTGCTGATTCTCTGTCTGTTACTTTAGATGAAAATAAGGAGCCCCTCCCCACGCCCCTCTGAGAGAGATTTGGTTAAAAAGAACTCAATGGTGCTCTAGGAGGAGATTCAGGTGATAAGGTGGGGGGGGAGTTACCTTGGTTGCTGATTGGCTAATGGTTACACAAGCCAACACATCGTTATGACATCATAAAGTGGCCAAAATCTGATCAGCTCATTTTCAGACAGGTTTTTATATAAATGGATCAGGACAAAAAGAGACATGGAGAAGAGGGGACACATGTTGATGTAGAGGAGACATGAAGAAGAGGGGACACATGTTGATGTAGAAGAGACATGAAGAAGAGGGGACACATGTTGATGTAGAGGAGACATGAAGAAGAGGGGACACATGTTGATGTAGAAGAGACATGAAGAAGAGGGGACACATGTTGATGTAGAAGAGACATGAAGAAGAGGGGACACATGTTGATGAAGAAGAGACATGAAGAAGAGGGGACACATGTTGATGAAGAAGAGACATGAAGAAGAGGGGACACATGTTGATGTAGAAGAGACATGAAGAAGAGGGGACACATGTTGATGTAGAAGAGACATGAAGAAGAGGGGACACATGTTGATGTAGAAGAGACATGAAGAAGAGGGGACACATGTTGATGTAGAAGAGACATGAAGAAGAGGGGACACATGTTGATGTAGAAGAGACATGAAGAAGAGGGGACACATGCTGATGTAGAAGAGACATGAAGAAGAGGGGACACATGTTGATGTAGAAGAGACATGAAGAAGAGGGGACACATGTTGATGTAGAAGAGACATGAAGAAGAGGGGACACATGTTGATGTAGAGGAGACATGAAGAAGAGGGGACACATGTTGATGTAGAAGAGACATGAAGAAGAGGGGACACATGTTGATGTAGAAGAGACATGGAGAAGAGGGGACACATGTTGATGTAGAAGAGACATGAAGAAGAGGGGACACATGTTGATGTAGAAGAGACATGAAGAAGAGGGGACACATGTTGATGTAGAAGAGACATGAAGAAGAGGGGACACATGTTGATGTAGAAGAGACATGAAGAAGAGGGGACACATGTTGATGTAGAAGAGACATGAAGAAGAGGGGACACATGTTGATGTAGAAGAGACATGAAGAAGAGGGGACACATGTTGATGTAGAAGAGACATGAAGAAGAGGGGACACATGTTGATGTAGAAGAGACATGAAGAAGAGGGGACACATGTTGATGTAGAAGAGACATGAAGAAGAGGGGACACATGTTGATGAAGAAGAGACATGGAAAAGTGGATTTAGCATAAAAGGCGGGCCGTTAAGATCACTTCAGACAATTTCATTTTACCCCTAATAATGTCATTTTTTTATTATTTGTGTAACTTTTTCATAAACAGTTCCACTTCTTGTACACTTTTTAAAAGTTCAGAGCTTTTCTCTTAATCTTTTCATCTCAAGTAATGAAGGAAAAACAGATTCACTTGCAAATAGTTGCTTTTCTGTGCTTAAAATCGTTTTTAAACAAGACAATGACGCTTCACTGAATGTACTTCTTACGACCTGCAGACAACCATAACATATCCACTTTAATCCAATTAGTACTATGTGTCACATGCTACATCATTCAATACTTTAAACGTATCCAACAGAATAAATAAATGCAGGATTTGGGGGAAAACCAAAGATGTTCTCGTGCATCCAGCTGTGAAATAGGTGCAGTTACAACATGTGTCCATCAGGTGGCAGTATTGTATTGCTGCTCCACATTTCCATACATTCATTCATTGCTGCGAGATGCTAACAGTGGATGAGGACAGTGGGGTAGTTTCCACTTCAATGCCTTGCTTAAGGGCATGTCAACAGTAAAGGAAATACCATGATCCTAATCTATAATACGGCTAATTATAAAACGGACAAGTGATGTCTCATACAGGCAGATTTAGAAAAGTAATAGCCGTGTTTACAAGTCTTTTCTGTCATAGCAATCACAGCTCTTCCTGTGTTCTTTCCCTTACAAAACACACACACACACACAGAGAGAGAGAGAGACACACACACACACAGAGAGAGACACACACACTGACACCTGTGTATGTCTTAAATCCCCCTCCCTTCCTCCTGTTGATCAGGAAATGCCCGACTCGTACAATAGAGAGCAGGTCTGACGACACAAAGGGGCTTTCTTCACACACACACACACACACACACACACACACACACACACACACACACACACACACACACACACACACACACACACACACACACACACACACACACACACACACACACACACACACACACACACACACACACACACACACACACACACACACAACACAACCACACACACACACACAACACCACACACACACACACACACACAACACACACACACACACACACACACACACAGGAAATTCAAAGAAACAAGAAATAACAGAAGTCATACATTCATACAGTGAATGACAGGAAAGTGTGTGTGTGTGTGTGTGTGTGTGTGTGTACCAAGGTCCAGAGTCTGTACAACCACTGCCCTCGACACACATTGTAGAGTCAGTGGTTGGTAAAATAAACAGAAATGTAATCATAAATAAGTGAATGAACGAGGATGTAGTATGAACACATGAGTAAATAATAATTTTCTTAAAATGTGGAGACATGTAGGGGCTGGTAAACTTTAAAATAGACTACTTCTTTCTCCTGTGAACTCTGCATATAGCTGGTTTCCTGTGAGTGTATGTGTGAGTGTGTGTGTGTGTGTGTGTGAGAGTGTGTGTGAGTGCGAGTGCAAGTATAAAATATATATATTCAACAACAATAATCGGCCCAGTGTTCGATGTGCCAGATGTGTGGATATAATATTAGATTTATACCTATTATATATATAACATTTCCCTCGTTTCAACTAGTTAAGGGACTAGTTAAGGGACTAGTTAAATGTTTAGATGTATACCTGTTAAGAGCCTTGCATATTCATTTCCTTTAACCGTCTGTGAGTTAGATGTCAGGAGGATTAAATCAGCAAAATAACGTTTCCATTAGTGCAGGGTGATGGAGGGAGGAATATGAAAAGTGGATCGCTGGCACAAGAAGTTTGAGAAAGCTGCTCTTAGTCATGACATCACTGTAAACAGCTGCCAGTGTGTGTGTGTGTGAGTGTGTGTGTGTCATTGACAGCTGGCTAAATATGATTTTAACCCACTTAAAACAAGCACACCAACCCCAGAGTGTGCTTGAAGTAAGTGTGTGTGTGTGTGTGTGTGTGTCCAAGTTCAGACTGATGACTCAGCAGGGTGTGTGTGTGTGTGTGTGCTATAACAAGCTCATGGCAAGTTACTCCCTGCAGACAGACAGACACACACACACACACACGCACACCAGGCCGTGCTAAATATCTAAAATGTGAGAAAGTGCAACGTGGCTGAAATTTAAATAAAAATGCTATTATTAATTTATTGCAATTTGCAAATGAATGCACAATTACACATGGACTCAAATGGGTTCCTCCTTCAGTTCATCAGTCCTGCACTTTACTTGCATCATCTTGTCAAACTCACCAATAGTGTGGCACTATATTGTGCCTTTCTAGGAAGCACAGTATGTTGCATTGTTGTATGTATGACAATAGTGCCAGCAGCAGAGCGACTGTAATGAAAGGAGCATTCTGCAGTAGAACACCACATAATGAACACACACAAAAAGGTCCTCTGTCATTAATGGCTATATCTGATGCAACTCACCAGCAGCACACTGTAACACACAGGGTGGAGCTCTACTGACACACACACACAGGGTGGAGCTCTACTGACACACACACACACACACTAGAGGGAGTTTCTTAAAGTAACTACAGGGCTTTTCTCCTTTCTTGCAACAGCAGTTGAGCGTTTAGATGACCCAACGCAGCACCTTCGAATGAGCACACACACACACGGTGCTGACACAGTCAGCCACACACACACACACACACACACACACACACACACACACACACACACACACACACACACACACACACACACACACACACACACACACACACACACACACACACACACACACACACACACACACACACACACACACACACACACACACACACACACACACACACACACACACACACACACACACACACACACACACACCCACACACACACACACACACACACACACACACACACACACACACACACACACACACACACACACACACACACACACACACACACACACACACACACACACACACACACACACACACACACACACACACACACACACATCTAGAGGCAGTATTCCAATCTAGGGAAAATGGTTGATCTTGGTAGAAGAAGAAGAAGAATAGGGAGGGATGAAACCCTCTTTAATGGTCACACATGCAGAGCACACAGCACACACAGTGAAATTTGGCCTCTGCTTTTAACCCATCCTAGTACAAGGAGTCTAGTACTAGGAGCAGTGGGCAGCTATTGTACAGCGCCCGGGGAGCAATGGGAGTGGGGGGGGAAGGGGGGTGTCCGGTGCCTTGCTCAAGGGCACCACGGCAGGGCAGGAGGTGAACTGGGACCTCTCCAAGTAGAAGTCCACACTCCATATTTAGGTCTGGTGGTCCTTGTCCTGACACTCCTTCACTGTGATTATTACAATTATTTTGTATACTAATGTTATCAATATGTGGGCATCCTTATTTGCATATACAATTATTCAAAAACGAATACTGCATCCCTCTGAGGTCAATCAGGTCATTCATCTGCTACTTAGTAATTATTGATCTATTATCTAATATATCATTCCAATAACTTGTATATAGACTCGTATTGCACTATTTCTCACTTTATTTTAAAACCATTTTTCTTTTTGTATTACTTTTAATATAGTATATTTTAATATTGTTTTAATATTGTCTGCTTATCTGTATTATTGTGTTGCATTGTTGGAGAAGCATGTGACCTAAGATTTTCAACGACATAATTACTCTGTAGCTATGTTAGTTTGACAATAAAGAACCTTGAGCCTTGAGAATATTCTCACTCAATTACTCGTTTGATCCAAATATATGTGATGAATAACTCCTGAAAAGTCCCATCAAAGTCTCCCATAAGCCAACATGATCAAAATCAACGAAATAAACAACTCATTATTTAAAGTGGACCTATCATGCTATATTTGAATAATATAGTGTAGGACCATACCTATATAAGGCATATTTATACTTTTTTTTTTTCAAAATACCAAACAGATCATGCATTTTAGCCATGCCTCATTTCGCTCAATTTGACATTTTTTAGCTCTGTTTTTGCAAGGGCTGATTCTGTGAGAACAGCACCACCTACAGGCCTGGCATATGTACTACAGCGTCTCCAGCGCTTTAGAACGGCAATGGCCGTGGCTGTCTCCTCCTGATTGGTGGAGTTGGCCCAATAGCCGTAGCGCCACCGTCCTGACGTCAGGACAGTGTTCAAATCTGGATCAGTTTTTATCAGATCCGTTGCAGCCCCTTTTTTAGAGATTTGGGTATGGAGGAAAATAGAGAGGGTTGTGTTTTCTGACACTTGGTGAGTTCCCTGGAACACCGGGGACACATATTCATGTAGAAAAGACGTACAAAAGTGCATTTTGCATGATAGGTCCCCTTTAAATTATATATCACATAAGAGTCATTTTGCCATTTCTTTTAGGGCTTAAAGTTTGACACGTTTCAGTATACAAGAAACAAACATAAGTATTGATGCTTGGTTGTTGTTGTTGTTTATTTTTTGCAGACAGATTGTGTCAGCTGTTTTAGACGCAGACAGATTGTGTTTCCTCCTCCAGCGAAATAAAGTGCTCCGTCATGGATTCATATCTCTATCATCACTCCTGTCTTTATGATCACAGCTGGCCTGTCATCAGCGTAATGCGAGTGAGTTTCTCCAGATACATGCTGTTTGAGCAAGAACTAAAAACAACTGAGACAAACTCAGGAAATCAAATCAGAGGAAAACAGACGTACAGAAGAAGTTCTCCGACACATAATTCATGCTCTTCGTATTTGAGATATTACAGATCCTCATTAAACTACTGGCTTCAGACACACACTTGTGATAACGCTGATAAGCCCACAGGCATTTCAACTACTCTCCACTGAGGAACTGCATAGCTTTTTGTGATGATGTAACTTACATTTGACACCAATATGACCTGACAGAGAAGCAGAGAATCACACACAAGGAGTCAGAGATAAGTGTGTGTGTGTGTGGGGGGGGTGTGTGTGTGTGTACAGTAAGTACAGTCATTGCTCTGATTTGTTGTCTGTACTGATAACTTGCTTTACTGAGAAGACTATTTCAAATGTGTGTAACCTGAGGGAGTTTTCTGTCCTGCTCATGTCTGATCTGCTGAGTTATTATAATTTCAACAAGGAATGCTACAACCAGCCTCAACTTGCACACACAACTTGCACACACGCACACACAACTTGCACACACACACACAACTCACAGACACACACACCTTGATCCCGGGGAAGTCACTATTAAGCCAGATTTGAAGGCTGCTGAATAATCAAATCATGAATGCTTCAAATATGGGGCTAATTATACAAAGATAGGCCATGTATTTGCAGTGTTATTAACTAATTTACCTGTATATCAGAGCATTCACTCAAACAAGTGACAATGTTGCTCAATCAGAGGATAAGACAAGACAAAAATCTGATGCCCAAACAACCTAACCGTTCAATAATATTCATGCCAACAAAACTGATTATTTGTTTCCTATCGTTGGCTTCACACACCGACAGCAGCAGAGCCATTGTTTCAGTCCAACCAAAATGTGTTATCTTTGTAGAGCACATGTTCATCATAACAGGAATTACAAAAGCATCTTAAGTCTATTCATAGGGAATTTAAAAAGGCACTACCTCTTATCTGAATATGAACAAATAACCATTACTTTGTCTGATGTTTTTTCCTAATAAAACGCTCTTTTGAACAACCCTCTGGACTAAATATAGCTCATAATGCGTCTGACATTTCCAAACATAGATTGTGTTTTTATTCAAAGTGTGTGTGACTGTGCACTGGAAATACTGCGACAGAAACAGGAAGCTGGAAGAGGTGAAACATCACAGTGGAGTGTGTGTGTAGGAAAATATATTCTTGCTGTTTGCTCACGGCATTCAACAGCACACACACACACTCAGAGGAGAATGTGGCAGCCAGAGGTGTCACACAAAGTTGTCAAGTCATAACAAATTGATCTTGAGCGAGGCAGCACACACACACACACACACACACACACACACACACACACACACACACACACACACACACACACACACACACACACACACACACACACACACACACACACACACACACACACACACACACACACACACACACACACACACACACACACACACACACACACACACACACACACACACACACACACACACACACACACACACACACACTTCTCAGCTCACTAACCTCCCATCAGACACAGTAATTGGACAAGCGTAAATAGGTCTTGTTAGGAGAGAATGATGCACACACAGGGACAAGAAGAAAACACACTTGCATAGGAATAGGAACACACACACACACACACACACACACACACACACACACACACACACACACACACACACACACACACACACACACACACACACACACACACACACACACACACACACACACACACACACACACACACACACACACACACACACACACACACACACACACACACACACACACACACACAGTTTACAAGCCTTTAATAGTCCAGTTCCTGCTGCATTTCCCTTTTCATTCACTATCAATTTCCGCTCTGGACAAACAGTTCAAAGACAGCTGGTCAAGGACACGGTTTATTCTGAGAGGGAAACAGTTTTTAAGAAGATGCTTTAATGAAACACGCTTTTAAAACTAATGATGAACTACGATTAGACGTAAAACAACCAAAAGGAGCATTCCTCTGAAATGCATTTTATATGTACCATACATTTCCAACATAACGTGTCTGTGTTTATTATCTTATTACCTATTTTAAACACATGTTTAGATTAATGAATTCAATATTTTAGACCATTAAGGGTTAGAGTAGTAAATATTTAGGGTTTTTGGTTAGTGTAGGGTATGTTTTATGGTTGTAATGTTTCCGAATAACACATGAACTCTCAAATCCATATGTATGAATGAGATAATGAAAATACGTTATGTGTATTGCCCCTTTTTTTAAGCTTCCTATAGCTTATTTTGGTTTCCCATGTCTCCATTATTTCTTATGCTTGTTCTTATATAAACTGAATTAAATACACTACACAAATTGTTAACTAGACTGTCTCCTCTGTGTTTTGGGAGTGTGGCAGGTCTAAACACAGCTGAAGTCATGCAGCTTCCTCCCCCTACTTACTAATGGGATGTGAAACCATGGAGCCTGGCACAGACACCAAGATAAACAGAAAAGTCATTCAGTCTGTGAGTGCACTTTCCACAAAATTATTAAGCAACACTCATGAGCATTCAAAGCACATGACAGACACCAACCAGTGGCTTTCTGTGTGCAGTATAATGAGGTGTTATCAGAGAAAATGACCCACTCATTCATTTTGTACACACACAGGCAGCTGCATTTGACACTCCTTGATATACATCTTGGCTTTTGCTAACAACCTAGCATGCCAAATAGCCAACAAAACTCTTTCAAATACAGTATCAAACTTTGGTGACAAATAGAAGAGGCATTCAACAAAAAAAGGGAGTTTTTAGCTACCAGAAACACCCCCTTCTCCCATTGTAAGCTCTGACACCAGTGAGCAGAATGTCAATTAGTTAGTTAGCTTGGTTAGCTTAGCTTAAGTTGCTCCAATGTTTTTGGGCTAAGTTGACTAACTTTGGCAACAAACCTAAAAGGAAATTATCCGGTGTTCATTGTTAGACAGTCACGCATCAGTATGCATGTTTACACACCAGTGACAATAATGTGAATCAGCTAGACTTTATGTTTGCTAAAGTTAGCGCAGCTAGCTGTCCGATAATGGACACACAGCCAGTTAAAGTTTTGAGTTGCTAACTTGATGCTAATCACAGCTAGCTGAGTGACGCCGGGATTCAGCTGCTTTCCCCGGGGTAAAATCAGGACGAAGCACCGGTGGTGGATCTTACTCACCGGAGGGTCGGTCCGATACAGTTGGTGTCGGTGCTCTCGATTTCCCGCAGGATGCGTTCGTGTTCCGCGGCTGTCTCCACACTGGTCGCCATCCTGCATGTTGCTCTGGACGGATCCAAGCTGAGCCGAGCCGAGCCAGTGACGTCATGCAGGAGGAACCGGAGGGGTTGGTTTGATGTGTTTCACAGGGCAGCCCGGGGGGGGGCAATTATGAACACATACCCAAAGTTGTTATTATATTTAATTAAAATATGCATTTAAGTGTCTTTGAGCATTAGGAAAATCGCTATAAAATCCAATGTATTATTATTAATAGTATTATATGTACATTTTATACCGGTATTATTCTATAAAGTCTTATTTTCATTTTCTATTCTTTGTCTTTTTAAAGTTACTATTTCTATTTTCTTCAGTGGTCGAAGTGCATTTACTCAAGTACACATTTGAGATACTTGTACTTTACCTGAGTAATATAATTCATACTACTTTATACTTAATGTTGGGAGGCAATGTTATACTTTTTACTCCATTTATTATACAGATTTATTTACTAGTTACTTAATAAATTCAGATTTTGACACACAATATAGGAAACGCGTTTAAAATACAAAAAAAACTAAAAACTAAACCCATAAGAAGTATTTTGTTCAAATATATCTCACAGTTCCAGCTTCTTAAGTGTGAATATTTGCTGTTATTGCTTTAAAATATTTTTTTTTAACTGTGTACTTTTACTCTGAATACTTTAAGTACAATTCCCTTAACGTACTTTCAATACTTTTACTTGAAATTGAGTATTTCTACAGTGTGGTGTTAGTACTTTTACTCAAGTAACCACCACTGCATACAATGTTATATTTTGTTTAAAAGTATGATATGTAAACATGTGTACTGATCTTGTTCTATAAAACCTGCAATTTACTATTCTGAGTCTATTTTCTTGACTCTTTAATGACAGTTTTTTTGATTGCATTTCAATATCCTCTTATCGTAGGTTTGAGGGAGCTTTTTGAACGTTGTCTCAATGATTTTGATGTCAGGTACTTTGCTTTTTGAGCTGAAAAGTGCTGTAAAAGTGAACTTGCCTTGAACAAATAGTCCATTGTGTAAATGTAAAAATTAAAGCAGGGGTCACAAAGAAAAGTACAGAGGGTTTAACAAATACAAATATTCTTCTTTATTTAATTTCTGACTCTCTAGAAACTGTAGTGTAAAACATCCATATGCAATAACAAAAATACTATTCAAAATCTTAAACTTTATTTAAGTTTCAGGGGGCGTTTGTGAAATTCTTCATACAAGTAGCAATATGTTACGGTAATGAGAACTTAGCAGCATGTTAATATTTACATAACAAAGGACGTTTCCATCCTAAAATGTGTTTAATTCAAGTAAAGTAGGGATAAGTGAAATAATGTTCATGATATGTTTTTATATTAAGCTACGTCAGTGCTCCCTGAGTGCAGTACAGCTGATAAACTGTTCTGCTCAGAGCTGGACCCAGGTTCCTGGAAAAAAAAAAAAAAGGGAAAATTAAATGTGAATTAATTGCAATTTCTTACAGTACTGCCATTACGTCAATTTGTATCTGAACTGTGAGTAAAAGCCACAGTACTTTGACTCAGGTTTTCAACTTGTTATCAACAGATACTACATGGATCATTAGAGCATGCTGGGAGAAATATGAATCCAGACGACAAACCTTTTGAGCTTCCCATATCTGATGGAGGAGAGGAGCTTCTCTTTATCAGCTTCACCTGCACATCGCTCATAGGCTGTCAGAAGACTGAGATTAAGAGAGGAAGAAAGATTTGAATTAAATATCAACAATGTCTTACAGTGGCGCAATGTCTTGTACTCATTAATATAAGAGAGTTTGCATAAAAATGTGTCCGAAGAAAAATGTGTAAAACGGACAAATCAAGCAATCTGATTGGTTCTTAGCCGTGATATAATGAGCGTATATCACGGGTAGAATTGTAGTTACTTTTCACAAGTAAGCATCCCTCCGCGTCTGAGAAAAAGCTACAACCGTTACAGCTGTTACATTACGTCCGTTACGAAACTAACTAACTAACAAAGCTTAAGATGGAAACATGTAAGGTTAACTTCGACCTCCGGGGGGTTCTTACTATGGAGGAGTGGATTGAGCAGTGCCTATCTCCAGAACAAAAAGCACCTAAACGACGACATGCAGAGCTACGTGAAGAGCAGGTAGACCAACTGGAAAAGTACCACCATTCAAAAGCTTTCTGATGCGGGTCTTGAAACAAAGCAGATAAATTATGACCGTTAGTGGCCACAGGTGCGAAAGCTCTCTCCAGAGCTACTGGAAGCCGAATCTCGGGGACCGGAGAAAGTGGAGCAATATTCTCGCCACGCCAAGCAACAGCCTAGAACAACCTCAACCTATACAAGTAACCTCGTAAGCCATGCTACTGATGCTGGACAGGTTTTCAGTGGGTGCACAATAAACGGCAACATACACATTAATGTAAATAAATAGCCAAATAATGGATCAACGCTCTCTGTCTAATATGTTCGCTAGCTGTTAGTGTTGTTGCATAGCAACCACCTCGCACTATGTTTCGTGCAGAAGGCAACGGAGGGACTATTTTATTTTTAACATCATTATTTACTAATAACAACTATTTAAATTAGAGTGTGTATTTTTCTTTCATATTGCCACACTTGGTAACCGTTTTATAAAAGCAATACGACAGGCCGTGGTATATGCTCATTATATCACAGCTAAGGGGCGTGGTTCGGCCCGACGCGAAGTATACCCTCATGTTTCAACCTTGTTTTTAATTACCCAAAGTCAGAAATGTCTCGTTTATTTCATGAGTTTCTGAACTCAATGAGGTTTTTTTTATCTTATTCTTTATTATATGAACATATTTTTCATATTCCTTCAACTTACCCGTCCCATTTTGTCTATTGCATTATTTTTATTGGGTTTCATATGTCTACTTCTTTCATGCTAGGTATATTGTTTGTTGCACTGTTGGAGGATGAGCATGAGACTTAAGATTACAATGTAGTTTTGCGATATGAAAAATAAAGCCTTTGAATCCTTGAGATGTAATGTTTTAATAATAATACATTTTATTTATATAGACGTCTTTCAAGGCTCTCAAGGTCACCATACAAGATACACAAAACAAAAAACCAGCAGAACAACAAGACAATATAATCAATAAGGACAGAAGATGCGTCATGTGATCAGGGGTGTGAAGAGACTTGATTTGAAAATGGAGGGAAAGTCAGAAACTCAAAATCGATATGGTATTTGACGGGCAGCAGGTGAAGTTTTGCATCCATGATATCCATCTCTGCTAGTGCTAACTGCCTCATTCTTTGTATACGTTATCTAAAAACACCTTTGTTGCTGCTGCAGGATATCCTGAGTACATTGCCAGGGAAAGAAAGGTAGGAATACTTGGAGAAAAGGTGAGATGTGTGAACATACTGTATAATAATAATGTGTGTTACCTGAGTGGAGTGCTGTAGAGCTCCAGTATAGCAGCTGCTTTGTCTCCTGACAGTCCGCTCACCTGCATCAGCTGCCGGGCAAACACTTCTTTCACCGTCTGACACTGAGAGGGAGAAGAGGGAAACAGGGATTTATTTATTAAAATAGATTATGAACCGATGAGCTGATAACCAGTTCTATCACCAAGAGAAAAAAGTCGCTTGGTCTAATTAGCAAAATGACACTATGTCGAGTATGCCTCTGTGACGAAACATCCCTTCTGTTATTGTATTAAGTTCATGAACATTGTATAAGATGCACATCAGATACTGTTCCCTTATTGCTAATGTCTACTACTCCCTGTAACTGCAAGTATATTCCATTGTAACTGGTGAAATGTTCTCAACTGTCTTCTGCATAAAGAATTGTAAAAAATAGATTATGTGACACACACACACACCCATCCCCACCCCCCCCCACACACACACCTTGTTTTTGATTGCACCGTGGTTGAACTCTGCAAAAGAGATAAGAGAGCAGGGGGGGGTCCCTCTCTCCTCTTCCTCCTCCTCATCCTCTCTCTCCAGCTCTCTGGAGCGACACGTCAGCGTACAGTTCTGGAAAACAGATTTAAAAGTTTATCATAACTATTCCAATTGTTTTGGGCCGACTTAGACCCCTATACAGTAATACATAATATACTCATTCTTTAAGGCTTCAAAAGGCTACACAAACATGTCTAAATGATTGAAGTTGAGGCAAAACCCTACAGTAATTGTTCAAATTATAAAAACGTATTCATCTACAGGGGATAAAAACATATACATTTATTGCTTTTATTAAAATATTTATTTAAACTTTTACCTGGTAGAGTTTATTCAGGTATCGAGTCATGACAGTGAGGTAGGCCATCGACTCCCTCACATCCTGGACTCTCTTCACAAAGAAGCGATCAACAACCTGACACACACACACACACACACACATATACAAAAGACAACATGTATACATCAGAGACTCAAACTAATCTTGTTTTGTGATTAATGCAGTGCACATTAAGACCCCATTTACATGCAAACGCATACGAAACGCAAACGAACCGAATACGATATCAAAAAAGTCTTCCGTTCACACGAGACCGCTCGGGAGCGCTGGAGACGCTGTAGTGCATATGCCGGGCCTGTAAGTGGCGCTGTACTTTCTGCCACAAAATACACCAAAAGCAGCGAAGAAGACCCCCGAGCATGGTTGCCATGGTTGCCCTTCTGTTTATGCCCCGCGGTGGATTTAGCAACATGTAGTTCATGTAATTCTCCATGTCCACTTGTTGCTGATGGTTGTGGTAGAGGAGCTGTAGATTTTGCACTAACATCTGTAGCATGGTCAGTAGCAGTAGCTAATGACAGTAGCTACTGACCATGCTACAGCAGTGAGCAGCAGAGGTGGGGAGAGGCGGGGCTATGGCTTCATCGTTATCAGGAAATGATCGTATAGGGCGTACACACGGAGCCGTTTGACCCCCCCAGAGCGTTCCGGTTGCAGATCTACCCACCTTGGGACCCGTTATCGTTTGCGGGGTCCGTTTCCGCGGTTCCGTTACGGCCTCGTGTGAACGAACCGGCTATACGCAAGAGAAAAGTAGCGGATACAACCGTTTGCGTTCTTGTGTAAACAGCACCTAAACCATCATGCAGGTGTATGTTTTCTCACCTGTGTGTTGATGATGGCCTGCTGCAGCGTGGTCTCAGGTAAACTCAGGTGAGAGGCAGCCTTCCCACACTCCTCCACCAGGTAGCAGGGGTTACGCAGACCACAGCGCTTCAGACGGAACTGATGAGGAGGAAAGTAAAGGGACGAAGAGATTAAGGTACATTCTTGGGTTGTGCACAGTAACACGCATAACAAAACACACCTTAAATAATTTGATTAACAGCATCGTAAAAGATGGAAAAACAATTTTTTTATCAAAAGATACGGAGAGTAAAAGCAAAGAAACTCATTACAGAAGATTGAACAACTTTGATATGTGATAAAATGTTCAAATGAATCATCAAGTGCAAATTAAACTTAACAAGATGCACACTATGTACCTACTTTTGGACATGCACTTGAAGACAGACATTTATATACATTTTAAGTATCCATATCTATTCATATATGTATGTTAACAGTTCCACCGAATTATTTTATTGTTATTTTGATATATTTCGCGTTTCACTCGTATACCTGCTGCTGCTTAACCGATAGAATAACCCTATGGGGATTAATAAAGGGTTATCTAATCTTAAATAGGATAATCTTCTTGCATTTCTACATTTCATATCATAATAAACTGAAAATATCTTTGGGTTATTGACCATTTGGCAAAACAAGCCATTTCAAGTCAGCATGCAGGGCTCTGGTTAACGGAGTACATGACTAATAATTTGATGGAGTGACTCAAAGATAAATGGGTTGACGAAGATGTCATTTTCTTCACCTTCTGTTCCCTGAAGCGCCCGTCGATGATGCTGCCGCACAGGTCGTCCATCCTCTTTCTCTCGATGATGTAATCCAGGACGAGCTCACGGCCAACGGGGGTTCGCAACTGACCTGGAGTCAGAGAAAAACTAAATGATTACGAGTTGGAATTTATAAAAAAAAATGGGGGACATTGCAGAAGAGGTGGACGGTTAAAGTGAAAAGACTGAACTACGGTGAGGAAATGTTGAATACGGTTCATCTATTTGGAGAATTGTAAGCTCTGGTTGTGGATGTGCTTTTATTGTATTTCTGTTGAATTTGTTCATTTGCAAATGTAATTATATTCTTGGTCTGTACTTTAAACTGATTTCTAGTAACTGCACACTTTCTTTTGTAGCATTATTTTGTAATCTGCCATATGTCTAATGTTCGGTTGTGTTTGTGTAATGTGATAAATGTAAAAAAATCCATAAATACATGTTTACAAATAATAATAATAATTATTATTATTATTACATGGCTTAGTTGAATACTCGATTCTGATTGGTCAATTCAGAACACGTGACACGTTGTTAATCCAGAACAGGCAGACCGCTGTCAAGGACTTATTGACCGTTGTTAAGGACGCTCACATCTGCAGAAAGAAGTCCGGTCGATTGAACTGTATACAGTTTGACAAGACAAGAGCGACAAGAAAACAGCGGAGAAGTAACGGGCAGAAACCCTCCTTTTTACGCAGCGGTCCAGACATAGACATCAAACGGCGACACATATTCAGTGTGCAGTTCCTTTGGCATTAGGGCAGGGATATCTAGATACTTTCCAAGGTTTGACATAATGAATTGTGCTACTTTTAAAGCAAGCAACGATGTTTTCAAATCTGTAATCAAAAAGCTCCGCCTTCCTGCCGTTGCTACGTTTTTCAAACGGTAGCAACGGACTATTTTCCTTAGCGGATGCATGTCAATTTAAATCAATATATACAACAATTTTTTAAATCAATAAAATCATTTTCTAAATCCATAAAAGCATTTCAATTAATAGTGGGAGTCATATCGTTACTTTGTTGAGAATGTGGCCATGTAATAAGCGGGATAATGTGCAGCGACTTGGTCATTGTGGGGAAAAGAACACCTTCATGCAGATCTAGATCCCTCCCTACGTTTTTTACGTTGTGTTACCTGGAATAGGTGCGACCTTTTCCCGAGCGACCCACAGGAAATCTCCCACGTTGAGCTTCCTCACATCGAATGTCACTCCGTTCCTCTGCAGCTCTTTGACCAGATCCTGCTTGCAGTTTTTGCTTCCGCTTCACAAACACACCAACAGTTCAGGAAACACACACACACACACACGTATACATTTGATTCACACAGTTTAAAACACACAGCTGTCTTACCCGGTTGTCTCAATGAAGTCCACACAGAGGATGATCTCGTAGGAGCCGGGAAGGAGACTCCATGAATTTGGGTTTCTGCTCGTTGATGGTACATTTTGGGGTTTTCCTGAAAAGAACATCCCAGGAAGGACAACCCTCGGCTGGGCAGAGGAGGTCGGCCTCTCTGTAGGTCTGGAAAAAGGCGGTTCAATTCCTTTTATTGTATTTACAAACAGTTCAACAATACAAGTGCAATCATAAAACATAATAGAGATATTTCTGTCTAAAATATATATTACTAATAAATCTACAATTGTTGAGAGTTCATGTATTTTACAGAAACATTACAAGCTAAAACACACAAAGAAAAGTCTACGTATTGTCGTATATAAAAGTAGAATGCACAGTATTTTTCTGTATTTACTTTTTACATGTATATAGTTGACCTATTTTTGCATTTTACTTGCACGTTTGTGTTTCTTTTTGGACTATATTTATTCCTTTTTATGTCGTAAGTTGATGGAGGAGGCTGGGACTTAAGATTGTCAAAACCAAGACCTCGTTATTTTGAATCTTGAATGTTTAAATGGTCTCTAAACACAAAATGTATCAGTCCAAACATAGGTCAAAATATATTGATATGAGAAACACAAACCTTTGACAAAGTGGAAATAATGGTGCGACTTAAATGCATTTCAGAGTATAGTTACATGTTGAGATAATGATACGTTTTTGTCCCAGAAGTTTCGAAGCACACTCACTGTATTCTCTCCTCTTCCTTCTCCTCTTCGTCATCATCACTAACAGTGAGGTCCACAAACCCCGGGCCACCCTCCTCTCCCTCCTCCTGCTCGTTTCCTTCACTCCTGGCCTCCTCTCTGTCTCCTTCTGGACCTTTAGTTCCCTCTAAAGACTCGAGGCGCTCCCCTAAAGCCAGACCCTCTTCTGTCAGAGAATACCTGAAGAGGGAGGAAGAGTGAACTACATTTAAACGAAAGGGAAGCCCCCGTTTCCACTTCAAAACACTCTGAATTGCTTTCCGCATAATCTGTTGGTTGCAAAAGGAGTTTAAGTCTCTCTGTTTCACTCCGATGACCTGAGAGCAGGTTTTAACAATGTTGTTCAGGCTGTTCCTGTCTCTCAGTGTAAGGCTAGTGTAGGGTATTTTAGCTCTGAGCTCAGGATTAGCTGAAAGGACTCCAGGAAGCTTATTTACAAGTTAACAGCGTTTAATAAAACAACGATACGATGATACAATGAAATTGCAAGAATGGTTGGTTATCCTTGATGGACAGCTGGGAAAGAGGGCGGCTTCCAGCTGGCTTCTCATTTTATAATCTGTAGGCTTCTCCTATTGTCTTAGCGTTGACGGGGGCGGGTCCAAGGCACGTCCTGTCGTTTTCTGATGTTAGTTTTACAATCTTCTAATATGTTGGTCATTTAAACATTCCCTAATAATAGTATTGCAGCGTCAATAAGTGAGGGTTAAAGACAGTGTGTTTAGTGTGCAACACCACGTGTCATTTCTCCTTAAATTCACAGAAACACAAAATTAGCTACATGCTAATGCTAACCGGAAGTTGACGATATTTACTCGCGAAAACCGGAAGTCGAGTGTGTGAACATCCGGTTTTCAGAATAAAGCAGCTTAAAATTAGAACAGTGTATTCATTTTAAGTTACGCCATATAAATATAGCTTTTATTCCTTACACTATGGAAAAAAAGAAAAACAAATAAGGCTCTCAATGAATGCTTTGGTAAAAACGACAAAGAATGACCGGCCTGACAGAGAGAGAGTTCAGTTTGCGAAGAAGGTGCATTGACCCCGCTTCACAGCACACTCAGTATTCACATCGAATTTGCGGTGGTCGTCGAAAATGGTGCCCAAGTATTTATATGATGTGACAACAATTTCAACCTTGTCATTGTGTATGATTCACTCCTTAGGAACATCCTTGTGACGTCTTAAGTCAATTCCTGGGTTTTAGAGACACGTGTGTGTGTGTGTGTGTGTGTGTGTGTGTGTGTGTGTGTGTGTGTGTGTGTGTCCTCTGTACCTTGCAGGGTTGTGGGTCTTCATCACCAGGTTCTTCTGGATCAGAGTGCTCACTGAAGACCAGGCCGTGTACTTACTGCCCAGATCTGGCTACAGACACATAAAAGTTAACTCAATTAAAATACAAATATTCAGGACGCTCTGATCAGGGTACCCTGTGCCGTCATATCAGTCAATAAATGGCCAATACAAAATTGTGCTCAAGCTAATTTTGTACCAAAAACATTAATATTTCATGCCGACAGACTCAACATTTTTTTGAATAAAGAGTATTATTAGGAAGTATTTTCTCTGCTTTTGACGACAATTTTTGAGTAATAATAATGGTTTATTGTTAACAGGACATCCCAAAACAAGTCCCTTTTTATATATTAGTTTCAGAACATCGGTGTGTTCATTTTCACTATATAATCTTCCACAAAGAACTCCCTTAATATTGAGTAGAATAGAGAGTAGGAGTCAGCCATCTTGTTGTTGTTTTTCAAAAATGGAATGCCTGGGCAAAGTTACCCAGAATGCATCTTCATTGTTGCCATGGCCACATCTCTACATGTGAGCATTGTGCAGAAATTCCAAGTGATGTCATGATGATGCTGTGATGTGCTTTGTGACATCATCGATAGTTCCAAATGGGAACCTGCAAGGAGACCAGTTTGAGTTTTAAGGCATAGCATATCTTGGCTTAGCAGAAACCAGTCTGACGCTGACAACACCCCATGAAATTCTGTTTTTTCCCCGTGAGAAACAGTTAGGTATTACCAGTTGCTACTGTGTGTGTATCATTATCATCTTAAAAAAACATGTCCTGCAATAAGGAACAAGTGGAAATGGGAGGTGACTACGCTGGAGTTAGGAGTCGTCTTGGGGCAGTTCAAGAACATCTCAAGACCCTACATGTGGAAATGCAATCCATACAAAGACAGCTCAGCAGCTTTCCAGCGCTGGGGGAGCAGTTTGACGCTCTGAAGGCCGAGGAACGTGTCGTGCGGCGCAAATGTGCCTACCTCGAAAAAGAAGCGAGGGTTCTTAGTGAGAAGATCGAAAATAACGTTACCGTAGAGGCGATGTTCCAGGGACTAATCCAGACAAACAAGAAATTGGAGAGTGAACGACAGATCCTCGAGGGACAGATGTTTGACAAGCTAGATGAGCTGGATAGCATCGATGCTATCAAAGCTGAGCATGAAGCTGCACTATGTGTACAGAGAGAGCTCGAAGCACAGATTGAAGAGGTGCGTTCATCGATCCAAAGCTATTCTGCTGCAAAGGAAGCACTCGATGCATTGAGAAGTGACGCAGAGGAAATCATCAGAGTAAATGGTGGCCTTGAGGAAGAACTTGAGTGTCTCAAGCAAAGGAAAGAGCAACTTCAGGATTGTTTCCAAGTGTCTAAGGCAGAGATAGAGACGGTTTTCCAGAAGAACCAGGCTCTGCAGCAGGAAGTGGACGATCTCTGCAGGGAGCTTGAAAATGAAAGCACGGTGCAGTTTGAGATAGACGAAATGAACCAGTTGAAATATGAGGAAAGGAGCCAAACTGAAGACTTGCAAGAAGAGATCTTTGAGCTTTCAAAGAGGCTTCTGGGTTTAGAGGATCTTCAGGGGTCATACGACATTGCGAAGGAAGAAAAAGAGTTGATTTTCCAGCGAAATCAATTGTTGCAACAAAAGAAACACGAGTTGTGCCAAGAACTTCAGAATGAGGACACCATTAGGGAAAGTTACAACGCAATGGTGACAGAAAAAGCCGCCATGAGTCTCGAACATGTCTCCCTGCGAGAAGAAGTTTTGCAGCTCAAGGAAAGGCATCTGCTTTTCATGGAGCTCGAGGACTCTTACAAGGAGGCGAAAGCTGAGAGAGAGAACGTTATGAGGAAGAACGAGGCTTTAATGAACAAGATCCAGGGTGTGAGCAATGAGGTTCACAAGGAAAATGATCTCATGATCAAGTATGAGGCTTTGAAGGCATCCAACGAGACCTTGAGGTGTGATAGTGCCGCCATGGGGAAGGATCTCGTGGATCTTAACCTACAGATTGGTGTTTTGAGGAAGGGTCGTTCTCATTTGCTGACATTCGATCACTTGGATGGTTTGAAAGCGGAAAATGACCTCTTGCAAAAGAATCTGGATGATGGCAACGAAGAGATTGATAGTAAGAAACACTTTAAGCATCAACTGCTCAACCTGGAAGTCAGTGAATCAGCCTTCCAGGTGAAGCCGCTGAGCGACAAAACCACAGCGGTTCAGAATCCAAACGGCGATCAGGACCAAATTAACGGCTTGAATGTGAAGAACGTCACCGTTCTCGATGACTTCCTTGAATTCAAGAAAACGTTTCAGGAGAATGAAGCTGCACTATGTGGACAGAGAGAGCTCGAAGCACAGATTACAGAGGAAATGGGAGGTGACTACGCTGGAGTTAGAAGGAGTCTTGGGGCAGTTCAAGAACATCTCAAGACCCTACATGTGGAAATGCAATCCATACAAAGACAGCTCAGCAGCTTTCCAGCGCTGAGGGAGCAGTTTGACGCTCTGAAGGCCGAGGAACGTGTCCTGCGGCGCAAATGTGCCTACCTCGAAAAAGTAGGGAGGGTTCTTAGTGAGAAGATCGAAAATAACGTTAGCGTAGAGGCGATGTTCCAGGGACTAATCCAGACAAACAAGGAATTGGAGAGTGAACGACAGATCCTCGAGGGACAGATGTTTGACAAGCTAGATGAGCTGGATAGCATCGATGCTATCAAAGCTGAGCATGAAGCTGCACTATGTGTACAGAGAGAGCTCGAAGCACAGATTGAAGAGGTGCGTTCATCGATCCAAAGCTATTCTGCTGCAGAGGAAGCACTCGATGCATTGAGAAGTGACGCAGAGGAAATCATCAGAGTAAATGGTGGCCTTGAGGAAGAACTTGAGTGTCTCAAGCAAAGGAAAGAGCAACTTCAGGATTGTTTCCAAGTGTCTAAGGCAGAGATAGAGACGGTTTTCCAGAAGAACCAGGCTCTGCAGCAGGAAGTGGATCTCTGCAGGAAGCTTGAAAATGAAAGCACGGTGCAGTTTGAGATAGACGAAATGAACCAGTCGAAATATGAGGAAAGGAGCCAAACTGAAGACTTGCAAGAAGAGATCTTTGAGCTTTCAAAGAGGCTTCTGGGTTTAGAGGATCTTCAGGGGTCATACGACATTGCGAAGGAAGAAAAAGAGTTGATTTTCCAGCGAAATCAATTGTTGCAACAAAAGAAACACGAGTTGTGCCAAGAACTTCAGAATGAGGACACCATTAGGGAAAGTTACAGCGCAATGGTGACAGAAAAAGCCGCCATGAGTCTCGAACATGTCTCCCTGCGAGAAGAAGTTTTGCAGCTCAAGGAAAGGCATCTGCTTTTCGTGAAGCTCGAGGACTCTTACAAGGAGGCGAAAACGGTTCAGGAGAATCAAGCTCAGCAGGCCAGGAGATAAAAGCCACTAACTTATCTGCGGGTTTTCTCCGGGAGCACCGGGTTTTTCCCAAAATGTACGATTTAAAAAAACAAAACATTAGTAAGATGTGTTACCATGACATCAGGGGTAACTCCGGGGGCTACGTTTGTTTTATAGCAAAGTACAATTTTCTTAATTCGTCAAAAGCATAAATAAATAAACAAATGTTTTTATTTAATTTAAATTTCTATGTTGGTTTGTTTCTCTTTAATCATGCAGTGTCAAATGTTGTCTTTAAAAATGTCAAAAACCTAACCCTAAACCTAACTCTAAACCTAAACCTAACCCTAAACCTAACTCTAAACCTAAACCTAACCCTTATAATCTTCATACTCCTTGACTTTTTTCTGATAGTTTCTTCTACAAATGATTTTCGGTGAGAAAAACAATAAAAACTAAAATAAGTAATAACTTAAGTCTATTGGTGTATCTTGTATTGGCATATAATACCATACTGCACATACTCAACTCATATTAGGTATTAAAGCACATGTGTCAAACTCAAGGCCCGGGGGCCAAATCAGGCCCGTGGTGGATTTCATTTCGGCCCGCAGGATAATTTCTAATTACTATTAGATCTGGCCCTCCGGTATATTGCACGCACACCTTCACTCAATCCTGAGGGTTTCCTCAGCTCAGAGCCTGAGCCCAAACATTGATGACCTTGCACCCAAGATGAGATGCCAAGTATCTGGCTTGAGCTAGCATCACAGAGCAGCACACTGAGTTACATGGATGTTTCCTTCTGCACTTTCTTTCTCACGACAACAGGGCATGTTTGTTTTCTCTTTGAGGGAAATAGTTTTGTTGAAGCTGTTGTTGGCCTGTGGGAAAATGTAATCATAAGAAATGACTCTGGAAAAGCTGCAGATAGAGCCATAAGAAATGAATGCAACTGATTATTTAATGTTTAATGTTGTTTTTATAGGCAATAATTTAAGCTTTGTTAGTTCCAGGTTTAATATGTGCAATAAGTTCATTTCAATAAGTTTTGCAATAAACATTGAACCAGTCCGGCCCTCGACTAGTACCCATTTTTTTATTTTGGCCCACTTTGTATTTGAGTTTGACCCCCCTTGTAGTGGCATCCAAGGTTTCCTTTTGCCACTATAGAGCGGGGTTGACGACACACAATCCAAAGCAATAAGCAGCCGAAGGTTTTCAGTCAAAAAATGTAATTTATTAACAAATAAGTATTGACTTAAATAGTCTCAAAATAACAAATCTAAATCAATATTTCGGCGATATACTTTCTTATATAAACTATACTTTGCAGTCCAATTTGCAACACTAATTTCGGTTTACAATTTGTGGTCGAAAAACTGTTCCGCTCCCCGTCTCATCAGGTCTCAGAGCACCGCGGCTGTCTTCAATTGCCTCACTTAAAGTGGACCTATCATGCTATATTTGAATAATATAGTGTAGGACCATACCTATATAAGGCATATTTATACTTTTTTTTTTTCAAAATACCAAACAGATCATGCATTTTAGCCATGCCTCATTTTGCTCAATTTGACATTTTTTAGCTCTGTGTTTGCAAGGGCAGATTCTGTGAGAACAGCACCACCTACTGGCCTGGCATATGTACTACAGCGTCTCCAGCGCTTTCGAACGGCAATGCCGTGGTTGTCTCCTCTTGATTGGTGGAGTTGGCCCAATAGCCGTAGCGCCACCGTCCTGACGTCAGGACAGTGTTCAAATCTGGATCAGTTTTTATCAGATCCGTTGCAGCCCCTTTTTTAGAGATTTGGGTATGGAGGAAAATAGAGAGGGTTGTGTTTTCTGACACTTGGTGAGTTCCCTGGAACACCGGGGTCACATATTCATGTATAAAAGACGTACAAAAGTGCATTTTGCATGATAGGTCCCCTTTAAATAAACACCGGAAGGTACAAGGAAACAGATCATAATTACGATTTAAAATGATTAATCATTTCATCAAAAGATATTCACCATGGCAATATAAATCATTTTCCATCATTAATTCATTTATCAAATTATGAATCTAAATAATAACTTTGACTTCATTGTGGCTCTAACACCCCTGCTTTAAAGAGTTCATTATTCTGTGTCATAATAATGCTTCGTGGTCATTTGAGAGCGTCTTCCCGTGTTAAACTGTTACAGCCCACATGCTCCAATACTTCAACATATTGGTGTTTAATAAGGTCAAAAGAAACGTATATAAAGGAGGTAAAAGACTGACAGTTATGCACCAGAAAATCTCGATTAGTGCCGTCGTCATTTTAAGTTAAGTTGCTACGCCATAAAACACACAATTATATCTTAGCGAAAGCAAAACGATCATTTTCAAATATATGAAATCATTTTTAAAATAATTAGTTATGTCAAATCCTCAATTGATTTGGTTATCAGCCGTGTAATAAGCGGGTTTAAAGGCAGCTAAGCCCGTCTTTAGCTATAACACCACATGAGAAAACAGAAGCGTTGTTATGTTGTGTCGTAACAAATACTCCACTTACCACAGTGAAGGACTTATCGCAGAGTTGCTGAGCTTCTGCTTGGAGCTCCATCTTAAACATGTAGCCTTTGCTGCCTGGGATCTGGAGAGAGAGAGACATCACATGAAGCCACGATGCAAAACATGGAGGTATTTTATGTAGATGTGATGGAGGAAGGCGTACCTGAGACACTCTGTACAGTGTGAGCAGAACAGCGTAACCTCCAGACCGTCTCTGGGGAATGTACTCCCTCTTCTTCCTCCCTCCTCCTTTGTTTTTCCCTTGATCCCCGGCTGCATTCTTCTACAAGGAAAGTTAAACAAACGAAGTCACAAATAAGAGGTTTTCAATGACAAGTCACCAGTGTTGGGACTAACGCGTTACAAACTAACGCGTTACTGTAACGCAACTACCTTTTGCGGTAACTAATAACGTTACTAGTTACCTATTCACATTCAGTAACGCCGTTATAGTTACTGTGATTTAAATGGGTGCGTTACTACGTTACATTATGTGATCCAACTGAACCGAATCTCCCTGCGGATGTAACTTACAGGCGATGTCCTCTCACAGTACCATGGAAAAGTGAAAGTGACCAGAGAGGAGTGATGATTGGTTAACGCGGGGTAACATTTCAGGGTAAGCCAATCAGAGACAGAGTTGGGCGGGTCTTGCCTTATGGGGAAAATACACAGACACACAAACACTTGCTAACACACACGGCAACGCCCACCACCAGCACACACACACACAATGACAGATGCAAGTATCAGCGAGAGCAGCAGCGCATTTACAACTTGGATATATAACCACTATTTTCAATTTGTGGGGATAAAGGACGCAAAAAATATTACGGTCAAATGTGTAAACTATAACTAGTTACTTTTTTAAAGTAACTTGCCACACACACACACACACACACACACACACACACACACACACACACACACACACACACACACACACACACACACACACACACACACACACACACACACACACACACACACACACACACACACACACACACACACACACACACACACACACACACACACACACACACACACACCACACACACACACACACACACACACACACACACACACACACACACACACACACACACACACACACACACACACACACACACACACACACACACACACACACACACACACACACACACACACACACACACACACACACACACACACAACACACACACACACACACACACACACACACACACACACACACACACACACACACACACACACACACACACACACACACACACACACACACACACACACACACACACACACACACACACACACACACCTTTCTGGATGGATCCAGGCTGTTGTTGTCCTGTCGGCCAGCAGGGGGCGCTCCTTCAGGGAGAGAGTGGATCGGAGCGTCTGGACCTACAGGAAAAGTGTGATACATTTTTGCAGCTTGAAGTAAGTGAGTATTTGTTTCCTAGCTTTGCCTTTGGTTATAACTCCTAGTACTGCAGATAACTTTTTTTTAAAGCTACCCATGTATTCTCTTTTAGCTTTTTGATATGTTCTTATATTTTTCTACATCAGGCTTTTCTTGGTGTATTGTTTGTAGTTTTTCTAATGTATGTTTTTTATATTTGTTGAGACTCCCACTCTTAAATAGTTCCCAATTTCACTAGTTTCCCCCTCTTGTATTTACACCCCTCTCACAATGCAGGCATCAATGTATTTCTTTAATGATCTTGTATTGTAAGTGAATGAATGTAATCCTGAACCCCCCCACTCCTCTGTTCCTCACCGTTCTCTCTGAGATATCGCTGCAGTTTCTGATCCAGTATTTTACAGATGCCGTCTCCAAAGCTCTGCAGGATTTTGGCCTCTTTGGCGTTTTGAAGCGGCAATGGATATTTGTTCAAAGAGCTGATGGCCTGCAGAACAAGACAGAAGCAAACGTGAATTACAAACAAACAAACATCAGTGACTTTAAAAGCAGTAACTGTACATCTGTTGTGTACACTTTCTCTTGTACCTGGGGTTGCTTTTATACAGGCTGCACAAACAGCTGACTGAAAGACAAAGTGTGCAAGCAGAAAATATAATGTGTGTTATCCTCTGACTTTAACAAGACTGCTTTATAGTTAAAAGACTAGAAAGAAACTTAATGAACAACATATGCAAACCACAGCTCATTATATGAAAAACTGGTGTTTTTAGAAATGTAATTTATTACTATTTTCATGTTTTTTCAAGGTTGTGAAGGATTTGCCATACAAGTGCATGACTTCTTTGTTATATGAAGATCTGTTTCTTCTTTCCATACGTGTGGGCATAATAGGGATGGGAATTTGAAAGCAAATGTATATTCGAATATTCGACCCCCAAAAAAACGGTTAACCGATTAACCGAAATGTACATATCCTATAAAAAAAATAAAATGTGGGAAAATATTTACTAAGAAAAATTTAATTTTGAAAAATAAATAAATACATGTTCAAATAAGTATAGAAACCAAGTCGAATTTGTCAAATGTATTGAACTGGTGATCACAGTTTGAACAGTTGACAGCTATAGGCCTACAGCTTTCAGGATCATACACGAACAACATAACGGGTTAGGGTAACGTAACCCTATTACAACAGAGATCAACAACCTATAACAGGGCCTATGCACAGAATGCAGCTATTCAATACTCATTCTTGTTTAAGAATATGAGCATGTCTACTCAGGGGAGAGGCGGGTGCGGAGACGATTCACAATCAGGCCAGCTGTAGAGAAGACCCTCTCAGCTGGAATTTGGGCATAAGATGAGGTTTGAGTCTGCGTGATCTGCGTGTAGGGAGGGGCAGCAGCCATATCGTTAGCTAGAACTAGCTAGATCTGATGGATTTGGACATAAACGCGAGTGAAGTACCGGACGCGAGAGAGAGAGATCAGCACCTGCAGCTCTGCCCGCTGTGAGGGACCGGTGAGCGGAGCAAAACACACCTTTAGACCTAACACACTTAGCTATGGCACTGTCGTATACATTGAATTATTCCATTTGATCATATGTAATCAACTTAAGCATCCCTCCCAAAAAAAAAAAAAAGTAATTACAATAAAAATATTCATAACTCGAATACCTGAATAATTTCGAATATTCTATGAATCGTTCCCATCCCTAGTACATAACATATGAATGCATCGGATATTACAATTAAAAACTATAATGTAGTATTACTATAAAACGGGCAATTCTGAAAATGTATATATGTTGTATTCAGTTTTTTGCTTTATCAAAGAAAACCTGGTCAAATAATGTCTGTCTGGAAATTATTTCACACAGTGACAGACACACACACACACACACACACATACTAAAGTAAGAGTAAATTATATCCTGTGAGGCAGGGTAAATATGTTTAAAATATATTTTGAATGCAGGACTTTTACTTGTTAGACTGCATGAAATAAAGTTATAACAGGGTATTTATTCACAGTGGTATTACTACTTACTATAACTGTAAAACCTAACAGTAAATAAAGACATGACATACCAAGACCTGAGCACTTTACTCTGATGTCTTACCTTCTGGTAGACGTACTGCAGCTTCAGGCCCTTCTCTTTGGCGTCGTCCCGCAGCTCGGTGAGCCACTGGAGGAACAGAGGGTTGGGGCAGGAGGGCAGGGGGCGTTTCCGACCCAACCGGACCTGCTGCGAGGCGGGCATCCCTTTGGACCTGGGGGCAGAGGTGTCACATATTTAAATATAATCATATACACACATACAGGCAATTTTTCTGCACTATGCTTACTTTTTTGTTCTACTAAAAGTGCATTTGCTGTTCCTTCTTTTTCCCTATTACTTAATTAAGATGTTGAATGCAGGACTTTTACTTGTAATTAAGTATGTTAATGTACTTTTTCTGAAGTAAAGCATCTGAGAAATGTCACTGTAGCTAAACAGAGCTAACCAGGTGCTAAAAACAGCTGTAACGTTAGCTAGCATAAGCTAACGTTAGCGCTCCCTAATTAGCTATTTTAGCAGTTTTTCCTTACAAGTCACATTATTTAACAATATAAGCAACACGTGTAGGGAGTTTTTAGCAGATACTAAGTTAAGAAAGTCGTGTTTTTGCGTTAAAAAGAGGCTAACCTTTCACTGGTGAGTTTACAGCTGGATCTGGCGCGTTGATTTTCGAAGACTTCCTGTTTACATCAGTCATGTGACCGGAAGTGGAAGACGGGGCAAGAATGTGAACAGTGACATCTCGTGGTGAAATGTGTATTAAAAGGATTAAATATAAGGATGAATTATTCTTAAATAATACTTTAAAAATGAACTTAAGTAAAATAACAGGAAATGTTTAAGGGGAAATATTTGTTTTATTGTTTTGATGTGTCCCCCATATTTTTGAAGTGAAGATGCTCTTTGTATTATTTCTATTTAATTAAAGAAATGATTATTCTTTATATAATTGTATAAAAATCCCCCTTAATTTATTTTTATTTTGATCGTCTTAAATTGAATGTTATTACATTCTGTGTGAGAATTTTTCTGTAAGATAAATTGAAATGTAAAATATAAAAAAAAATTAATTAATTTAGAAAATCGCTTTTTATTCAAGTATTGCATCATTTTGAGATACTAGTTTACTAAATGTCAGAGGCAACAATATACAATTACAACAATAACTTATAAATGAAAGTATGATGTAACAATTTAAAGAAACACGTAATACTTGAATGATCCCAGGGGAAGTCTAGCAGTACCTTTACATTGTTTTTTTAATCTTTCGGGAACAAAATACACATGCTGCTTTTATTGCCAAGACATTAAAACCACCTCAATATATCTCCAGCTTTTCCTATCTTTTTATACAAGCCCTAGAGATCTACCAATCGTATTGTTGAATGTCCACAAGGTGTGTTAGAGCTTGGTAAACATGGCTCTGCACCCTGCAACATATTACCTGTAAAGTACTTCCTTCTTTGAACACTTTCGAATGTCTTTAAAGGAAACATGTTGTTGTTTTGCATATTCCTTGACTCAGCTGGAATGTGTTATGCATGTTTCTGCTATGACAGGCATTGTGTTGCCCTTACATAACTACATAATACAATTGTGCAATCCCTTTGCTAGAACAATAAGTTATAATACTTTGCCACTTTGCAATCTGTGCCAAAAAATGAAAAGAAAGAAAATGCTGATATTTGGCAGAAAAGTGTGTCTTATCGCAGGTGGCTGCAATGAGCCTGTGTTGCACTGCACATTTCTTCAAAACGGGGTTGCAGGCTCAGTGGCGGCGCCAGAGATTTATTTTGGGGGTGCTGTGGGGTAGCTTGACGTTTCATAGAGGGTGCTCAAACATTTAGGGTTTCCCATTAAGGTACCGGGCGCTACAGTGGAATTTTCTACTGCAACACTCCCCACGCAAATACACAATGTACCCGCGACTGTTACAATGAAGGCTCGATAATCAGCTCAGGGCATATAGGTGTAAGCAGAGGTAAAGTGCTGTTTTTATAGGTGGTGTGTGGACCTTATGGGGGGGTCCGGGGGCAAGCTCCCCCGGGAAGATTATTTTTTAAATATTGAAGTTAAAAGCATCAATCTGGTGCACTTTGAGAGCAAAATGAAGAGATCTATGTATACATCTCTCAACACCCATATGAAACAGAACTCTAAACAGATTTACTATTTCTTTATGGATATTTTACAAATCACTCCCCTTTTAAACTTTATTCTTGTTTTACTGTCATATAGTATTTCATACCTGTTTTTCATTTATTCTCTTATTTTTTTACAACTATAATGATCATATATGTGCCTCGGAAATAATTGTTTACATTAATCGTGACCAAACCGTTTGAGACCCGGCCACTAGTTCGCTAGCACCAGAAGCTAACAACAACGATCTCCGGTACCGGTGCGCTCTCTCTCTCACAAAATAGCTCGTTCCACTCACACACAGAGCCGAGCTTGAATGAAACACAGAGACCCAGACGTACTTGTACTGTACTGTATCATATTATTTATTATTTTCAAAACCATTTTCCCTCCTGGTCTCTCGCGCCCCCCCTGTCATGCCTCTACGCCCCCCAGGGGGGGGTGCGCCCCCCACTTTGAGAAACACTGCCTTAATGTATGTGTCCTAATATGTGAAAATGATTTGGCAAATTAAAACTGACCTGACCAGCAGGTAAGCTGAAGCAACTCAAAGTATTACATATATTTAACATGTTCATTCAAATGCTCAACGTTTTACTGTGATATCTTGTTTCAACAGTTACTTTATCACTTCATCACTTTCTTCTAAAAACATTTTGTATTATTATTTACTGTATTTTATCTTTATTTTGACATTGTGTGAATCCTGTTTTTAACTCTGACCCTGTTGCTGCTATAAACGAGTGAATTTCCCCAAGGGGATGAATACAGTTCCATCTTATCTTATCTTATCTTAAACAAAGGGGTATTTTAACAAAACAACCAGTTTTACACATTAATGCATCAAAATTGATCATAAATGCCACAGAAACATCAAAACTACATTATTTTGAAATGTTTAAGTGTTTTATAAGACTTAGAAATACCGTCATGTCCGAGAAGTGGTTTTATTCAGAACATTTAATGTACTCAGAGTCTGTAAACCTGCAGGACCGTTATCTGTCACTGTGTTTCCTCGGGCTGAAGGGCGTCTGCAGGATTCCTCCAACAAGACCCGACAGAGACCAGGAATCCAACCTCACCCTGAAATCTCTCTCACGATAAGTGTGTCTCAAACATCTTTCACACACACACACACACACACACACACACACACACACACTTTGAAGAGCAGATTTAACTCACATTTGACGATTCGAATGAACAGTGAATGCTGAGGCCTTAAAGACACATTTACTCCATAGGAAATATGACAAAATAAGGTAACAATAATCCATTGAGACTTTACCAATAGCTTTGCTTTCCAATAACTGATGTATTTTGGAGGGCATGAGTTCAATTGTTCCTTACTCTACATATTTCCCTTTGTAAACACATCATTTAAACCTCTAAATATGTGAGGAGTACCTGTTATGCCTGTAGCAACATTTCCTGTCATCAATCGGATGATTTAATGCAGGCATTTTTTGGTTTATATTCCTTGTTACCGTTCCACAACCTATTAATTTGAGCAATTGGGAGCTTAGTTCAAGTTGGTAAACGCTCTTAAATATGCCTTATATATACTTTTATTGGAAATGTATACACACGCATGCATGAAAGCCTATTTACCGTTACCTGTAAACGTAAGAATACATATGCAAATGGATGCTTTTTTTTATTTAGGAGGATTAAATCCGTTCAAGTGCATCAACACTTGGCTTTTTCTGCGTATAAAAAGGTGCATAACTGCCTGCTTAATATGCCGAATATGAATAATAAGGCCCCTTTAAAGCACAGCTTGACAAACAACTTTAGATATATATTACTTCCTTTAATTCACATAGTATTTTTTCATAGAAAAACTCGCTGTACAGAGACACCCACCAGAAATATTCACATGCAATACAAATCAGAATTCTTTTTTTGTTGGTATTACTGACATGTTAATGAGCTTTTTCTTTTCCCCCCCATCACAATCTCATGTAAAAATATATATAAGTTAAAGTCACACTTATGTTATCGTGATATATACAGAAACACATTTGGATGAATGTGTTTAGCCACTCCTACAGGAACACATTCATACACATCCCGCCTTTTTCATCACTTTTGTGTCCATTTTGTCCTGAGTTGAATGATTTCCCCGCCTCTTCTCTTACTGCCCAGCGGATCCAGTGGTATCGTCGCTCTCGGCTCCATGAGGAGATCCAGGAGAAGACTCCTCCTCTCCTCCTCCCCCTGCCATCCTCGCTGCCTTGCCCTTGAGCAAGGCGCTGTCGGGGTGCAGTGAGTTCAGGTGGATGACCAGCTCGTCCTGGGACCCTGACGTCAGGCCGCACTCCTCGCAGACGTACAGCTTGTTGCGGCGCTCCTTGTAGGCGTACTTCTGCGCCACGCTGTGGATCTTCTTCATGTGAGACTCCAGGGAGCAGCGCTGGGTGAACGCCTTTTCACACAGCGTGCACTTATAGGGACGCACTCCTGTGGAGAAGAGGTGGGAAAATGTCATTTACTATATATTCGATTTATTTCTTCAATATTTATTTTGGCCTTTTTTTTAATTATTATTATTTATATTTATTCTATTTTTTCCTTTTACATAACCAAAAACAGACGGACTCCTGTCAGGAAGATGTGGAAAAATGTCATTAAGTATATTATAAGGACGTATTATAGCCCCCTTTAATATGTCACTGTTTTGCAGTTAGCTTGTTATTGTTATTTTTAATTATATTTTTCTTGACGATAAAGTATTTTCTATATATTTTTTTATATATAATATTGGTATTTTTTTGGATCCACCCTTGATATGATTATTATTTATATTACATATTTTTTTGCCGCATTTTTAAAGAAATGACATGTATGAAAGTCAATAAATAAAAAGTCAAATGTCATTTTGTCCTGTGTTTATGTGCAGTGTGTGTTCATACCTGTGTTTATGTGCGGGAACATGTGTGTTCATACCTGTGTGTGTGCGGGAACATGTGTGTGTTCATACCTGTGTTTATGTGCGGGAACATGTGTGTTCATACCTGTGTGTGTGCGGGAACATGTGTGTGTTCATACCTGTGTTTATGTGCGGGAACATGTGTGTTCATACCTGTGTGTGTGCAGGAACATGTGTGTGTTCATACCTGTGTTTATGTGCGGGAACATGTGTGTGTTCATACCTGTGTTTATGTGTGGGAACATGTGTGTGTTCATACCTGTGTTTATGTGTGGGAAGATGTGTGTGTTCATACCTGTGTGTATGTGCGGGAACATGTGTGTGTTCATACCTGTGTTTATGTGTGGGAACATGTGTGTGTTCATACCTGTGTTTATGTGAGGGAACATGTGTGTGTTCATACCTGTGTTTATGTGCGGGAACATGTGTGTGTTCATACCTGTGTTTATGTGCGGGAACATGTGTGTGTTCATACCTGTGTGTGTGCGTACGTGTCTCTTCAGGTCGAAGGTGTCGTTGAAGCCTTTCCCACAGAAGTTGCACAGGTGTCTCTTGGTGTTGTTGTGGCACTTCAAGTGTCTGTTCAACATGCGCTGGTACTGGAAGGTCTTCTCGCAAATCTGCAACCAACAATACCAACAATTAATATATGTAAAAGGTTATATTTTCTGCCAGCAGAGATTAATGCTACACAACTCCAACAAACTGATGAATTATCATGTATATGTTATCAGAATCAGAATCAGGTTTATTACCAAGTAGGAGGAATTTGACTTGGTGTCATGGTGCATACATAAAAAATAACCCGACAGTTTTGGACGTAATATGGTCGGTGAGCTCAGCCCCCTCCTTCTTTATTTTTATCAATTTTTAAAGCTTTATACCCCAAATCAGCACTTTTGAAACAGGAAGTGAAATAGAGGGATATGAGGCATGGCTAGAATGGGTGATCTGTTTGGTATTTTGAGCAAAACACTTCATAGACATGTTTTTTATATATTTATATATATCTGAGACCTATGCTATTGCCTAAAAATAGCATGATAGGTGACCTTTAAATACTGCTATATTTCTTCTTATATTAATTAATATTTTTTAATGTTATTATAGTGTTCTTAAAATAGTTCTCTATCTGTGTTTTACATTTTTGTTTTACTGTTATGTTTGCACCACGACATCAAGTCAAATTCCTCGTACGTGTCAACCTACCTGGTGATAAACCTGTTTCTGATTCTGATTCTGTTGGAGGAGCTCAGGTCATTATTTAATTTCATACTCTGTTCTTGTACATATCATATTCTATTTACATGTATATAGACTTCTTGCACTATTTTGTATTTTGTGTTGTATTATATATGTTGCATTGTTGGAGGAGCTCAGGTCAGAAGAATGTCATTGCCATTTCTACACTGTATCTTTGTGCATAAAACCTTTGAAACTTGAATCTTTGAATGAATCAAAAATACTACACACCTGGCACATGTACTGCGCCGTCGGGGAGCTCTGACCTGTCGACCTGGTCACCATGGAGACCGCTTCCATGGGGTCAGAGGTCGCCGTCAAGGCAACGGGCATCACCGTGGCGTTGGGAGTGAGGGATGGAGGGGCGGGAACAGAGAGAGGAAGGAGAGAGGGATCGGGAGGAAGCTCACCTGTAGTCACCTGGGGAGAAGAGAGGGAGAAATATGGGTTATTAACCCTTAATGTAGCATTGTGTCGTCACTCGTCACCCCTTGTGTCCTCACCCCTTGTGTCCTCACCCCTTGTGTCCTCACCCCTTGTGTCCTCACCCCTTGTGCACAGTTAAAGAGCTGCTGATGTTCATTTGCAGAAGAAAAAAACTACTAAAACAAAAACTGTATGTCATTTTTTTCTCTCTCATATCCACAAAGTATGTATTAAAAAGAGTCTTTAACATAATCTCTCCACTTGTGTCCTCACCCCTTGTGTCCTTCCTCCTTGTGTTCTCACCCCTTGTGTCCTCCCCCCTTGTGTTCTCTCCCCTTGTGTCCTCACCCCTTGTGTCCTCCCCCCTTGTTTCCTCACCCCTTGTGTCCTCCCCCCCTTGTGTCCTCTCCCCTTGTGTCCTCCCCCCTTGTGTCCTCCCTCCTTGTGTCCTCTGCCCTTGTGTCCTCACCCCTTGTGTCCTTCCCCCTGGTGTCCTCTCCCCCTCGTGTCCTCTCCCCCCTGGTGTCCTCACCCCCTTGTGTCCTCACCCCCTTGTGTCCTCACCTTGATTTTGGAGCGTATGTACGGTGACCCCTGAGCTCTCCTCCTGATGTCGGTGCACTGCTCCGGATGTCGGCCCAGAGCGGTGCTGGACGGCAGCTCGGCGTGTGTGTGTGTGTCAGAGAGATGTGTGTGTGTGTCGGAGAGGTGTGTGTGTGTGTCGGAGAGAGAGTGTTTGGTGAGGCAGAGCGGCAAGGCCTCGGCGGGACTCGCTTCCACCTCCACCAGGAAGGAGGGAGGGAACCTGTGGACTGGAGGGAGAGAGAGAGAGAGTCAGATTATAATAATAGATTACATTTGTATAGCGCTTTTCCTGGTGCTCAGACGCTTTACATAAAATCAGAAACAGTACAAAGAAAGTCTCCTCTTTAACCTGCAGAAAATAACTTCAGATATACTTTTCTTTCATTAAAAACTACTGTGATTAGTAACAGATTATTAACAATGTTGGTGATGACCTTTCTGTCCGTTGCAAAGTCACATTCAATACATTGAGAGATTACAACATTAATACAAATCTGAGAGAACCATAGTATTCTTTTTTATTTAATCTTGTGTTTTTATTATATTTTAGTTTTTTTTAATGGACATTTTACTTTATTTTCTTTGTTAATTTATCTTTACATAATATTTTCTTTTATTTATTTATTTTTTATTTCATTCTTAAAGGGAACAACCATCACAAAACCCAATTTCCTAAGATTTTAATGAAATATTTATAGGTTTCTGATTGTCATCATACGTACTCAGGAACAACAACATTGTGCAGGCTTCTCTAGATGAGAAAAGAATACATAATAAAGGCACTAGTTAGAATATGTTCAAAGGTACAACATGAACAGCTATGGGTTTTAATAAATGTGAATAGAGGGGGAGAGAGGATTGGGAAAAAGAAACCGAGGTAAATATTTATTTCATAGTGAACGTCATGATGTGCAGCCGGCTTCATATTTGCACAATCCCTCAATTAGCAAACACACAGAGCTAAATATATGTGTGTTTGGGTGTGGGTGTGCACACGTTCGGCGTATTGTTTTGTGCAAGTCATTTGGCATGCACTCACACATGTACACACATGTACACACACACACATGTACACACACACACGTACACATGTACACACACACACACACGTACACACATGTACACACACACATGTACACACACACACACACACACATGTACACATGTACACACACACACACACATGTACACACACACACACACACACACATGTACACACACACACACACACACACACACACACACACACACACACACACACACACACACACACACACACACACACACACACACACACACACACACACACACACACACCACACACACACACACACACACACACACACACACACACACACACACACACACACACACACACACACCACACACACACACACACACACCACACACACACACACACACACACACACACACACACACACACACACACACACACACACACACACACACCACACACACACACACACACACACACACACACACACACACACACACACACACACACACACACACACACACACCACACACACACACACACACAACACCACACACACACACCACACACACACACACACACACACACACAACAGTTAGACTCGTTTGACCAGACAGTCTTGCAGCACCAGCTCTGTACCTTCCTCAAACAATCCACCTCCGCAGGGTGTGTGTGTGTGCGTGCGTGCGTGCGTGCGTACAATATATTAAAAAAAATAACTTTTTAGATAAGGAGACAGAGAGGGATTTAGGTTCATAGAAACCTTTGACACTCAAATAGACAGGTGTGCGTGCGTGTCTTTGTGTATGTGTGTGTGTGGCAGGTGTGGCTGAGCTCTGAACAGACAACCAATCAGTTGCCTCTGCACGGCCTCCATCAGATAAAACTCAAATACAGATGCAAATGGAGTCATACAGAGAGCTGTCGAGATGGAGGGACATAAAACTGATCTGAGAGCAGCCGAGGTAACGGGATTCGGACAGATCTATGTGACAAGACACTAAAGTCTTTATCCTCACATGGAAATTCTTACTGTGGCAATTAAGATTAAGCTAACAGAATATACACACAAAGTTATCAAAGTGTATTGCTGTGTAGATGAAACAAAACACCATGTTGTAACTCAACCATTTATCAGGAAGTGTAACTGGATCCAGGCATATTCTTAACTTTACAAACATAACGGATAAAATATTACCGAATGCAAAGCTGGAAAACAGCTAATATCAAAAGTTTATTGGGCCTTGTTATTATAATAAAGTAAGTCTTAATAGCTGTGTGTCCTACAAGAAATGATCCATGTCTCGTCAGGTAAACATACTTTATGGAAACCAGATCAGTTTATTTTAGTTACGAACTGTTTAAGTGATAATTAACCACTTTAAATCTGTCTTAGTTCCTCTGTGTGTTTCTGTGGAGACGGCTGCTGGCCGGACATTTAATCTCATCTTGTATTGTTTGTCCTCCCCTCCTTCCCCCTCACCTATGAATGAAATGTGTGTGTGTGCTTCTGTAAGAGTGTGTGTGTGTGCATTTGGAAGGTAGGGTGATGGGGTTCGAAACACCAACGAAAGTTTCTTTATCGAGACAGAGAGAGTGTGTGTGTGTGTGTGTGTGTGTGTGTGTGTGTGTGTGTGTGTGTGTGTGTGTGTGTGTGTGTGTGTGTGTGTGTGTGTGTGTGTGTGTGTGTGTGTGTGTGTGTGTGTGTGTGTGTGTGTGTGTGTGTGTGTGTGTGTGTGTGTGTGTGTGTGTGTGTGTGTGTGTGTGTGTGTACAGCCTCAGGATAGAATGGGACTGGGACTATGTTCATGTTAAACTAAATATTTGCCTTCTTTTCAAAAATGTAATGAGAAGATCTATATCACTCTCATTGTGAAATATGAAGCCAGGAGCTAGTTAGCTTAGCATAACAACTTGTAACAGCTGGCTGACTGTTCCTTTATGCTAAGCTAGGCTAACCGTAGCTTGATCTTTAACAAAATAAATACATTTCAGTGGTATCAAACCTCTCAAATGAACGAATGGGCCTAAAATGTCAAACTATTCCTTTTTTGAAACACATTCACAGGATCTTTTTCAAAAATGTGTTTATGCTATGCAGTGGAAATCTGACCGAAAATTACAAATCTATTTTGAACTGTACAAAATACATACATACAATATAAATACATATTTCAAATGACCCCTTTGTTTTGTGATATTGAGGCATTATCACTGGTCTTCTGTTTACTAAAAATGTATATATTATATGCATGGCCTCATTAACTATTTTATGTTCAAATGTTATTGTTTTTTTTTTTAAATCACTGAAGCCCTGATGATCCCAAACAGATAACGTTTTAATACTATCTTTAAAAACCTGTACTGAGATTCACATGCATTAATGACAGTGATGTTAATAACTTTTCTGTACCTTTTTAATTTTCCTCGTGTATTTAAATTAGCTTTTCTTTTTTCTCCTTCGTTCTTAATTAAACAAAAAATATTCTGACTAATGTTGAAATCACAGGTAATACACCTGGTATGTGTGTTTGAGTTAGTGGTTGATTTCAGACTGATGATTCTTCAGAAACAGGCCCCGGCACATGGTTGTGGATTAGGAGATACAAATAAACCCCACACAAACACAAACACACCCACACAAACGTTTTGAAACTGATGGCATCTGGCAAACCATAAAAGTATTCAACAAGCCTGTTTCTGACTGCAATTATCATACCTCTGAGTGTGTGTGTGTGTGTGTGTGTGTGTGTGTGTGTGTGTGTGTGTGTGTGTGTGTGTGTGTGTGTGTGTGTGTGTCCTTAAGTCACCGCACACACGCCAGGCAGGTACGTCAAGTAACGGCACATACCGAGAACTAAGGGTGAGACAGTTTCGGTGCTTTGAGTGGAGTCTTAGTTATGCGTAATTACGCACTGAAATGCATCTGTATTGTGTTCAAACTATAGATATTTTTAAGAAAAATATTATTTGATTCTCATGTTTTGCGTGTAAACTGGTTCAACAACGGTATAAAAAAACAGTTAACAGAAATCAATCGAGTTAAGTAAGTAAACGTGGCTCTAAGAATAGTTAACCGTTTATTTTCGGTGCGTAAAGTTAGAATCCAGAAATACCCTCATGCATCCATTGCGATATATATTTTTTGGCATGGTTCTTTTTTTATTGAAACCCCCTTGAAAAGTAGCTGCAGTAGGTACAGTTCTTTAAAAATGTTCCGGGTGCAAACACCAGAGAGGATGTAAAAGTCAATGATTACAAGTTAACGGTGATGAGATGTGGAGGCAAAGAGACAGGGAGAGAGGGGGGAGGGGGAGAAAGAAAGAGAGGGAGAGGTTTAGGGTGTAGTCCGTTATTTGTTATCTGAAACCGACGTGATCTTACAATAAAAAACCCTCCGATGGCAACAATGGAGATTGTTCTCGAGCGGAGTAGTTGGGACACAGGTGGGCTTCATTTATTTGTCATTTAAATAACGGTGTAAACAGCGAAACTAAGCTAAAGACGCCAAACTCAGATTGACAGTTACAAACATGTCAGCTCTTGTTATGTTTCTGCTGAGGCACCCAATTTAGAAAAACGTTATTCCCTGAGGGCCGCAATGAGATCCAAACGAGTGGTAAACCAAACAACCTGGGAAGACTTCTCTATTAACACTTTAGTTGATTTAACCTAAAACTCCAATAAGAATTAAGCAAACGCACCACTTTAAAGTTTGTTTTTAGCAGAAATGTGCTTCTTAAATGACACTTGGGACGTCATATAACATACATTCTTCTCTATTAACACACACAATATCGTAAATTAGTTGATTGAATCACCATGTAAAACTCAAAGACAAGCAAACGCACCACTTTAGGGTTTGTTTTTATGAGAAATATGCCCATAAATAACATAAAATACGCCATTAAGGATGAAAAAAGCCATACAACTAACTCATTATTAGACGAAAACGACTTTAAAGTTTGTTATGGCCCGAAATGTGCCCATAAGTTGCTTGAAAAAAGCCATTCAGCATGAAAAAACAATAGAAAATGACTTAGTGGACCAAAACGACCAATTCGTGGAGAAATAACTTAACCCTACATGGCATTACAGATACTTTTATAATAAACAAACAGTAATGAACTCGTTTTTCTTTACCTAAAGTCTATATATGAGCTTTATATATAGGTGAGTGGATGCAGGGCTCAGCTGTAATCAGGGGTTGAAGGTCGATGTGTGAAAAGCAACGGGCCTTGTGATAGCCACACAATGACAGATATGAAAACAGAAAAGCAAACATGCATGCTTTTGTGGTGACATAACACGTTTTATAAGAGCTTAAACAATAACTATGTATATGTGTAAATAATTCAATACTTTAAAGTGGATTCAGTGAGGTTTAACATGATGTTTTGACGCGGATAAAAGTTTAAAATTAGGGTTAAATATGCCTAAAGTTAAACATACGCAACTTCACTTCAGGAAATACACTCAGGAGAGTGTGTAGTTCACGGCCCGCTGTGTTTCCCGTTATTCGGTGTCCCCGGAGAGCAGCCTCCCCGTTACAATCACAACCAGACCCCCTCTTCATCTACACACACATTCCTAGTGTGTCCAAACCCGTTAGAAACCAACAAACCCGTGCCTAAAAAGCACCCAAATATGCGTTTTTCTTGCTTTAAACCAGCAGATATGTCTCATTCCAGCAGCGTGGACTCACCTGGGATGTAGACGTCGCCTCGATCATAGTCAGGGAGCTCGCCCCAGCTCCGCTTTCCCGGAGAAACATTGGCTTTCTTCACCAGAAAGGCCCTCGGCATGTTTAATTAACACTCTGGGAGTCTTTTTGGGAATGTTTGAAGAAGTGTTACAAAAGTTACAAAAGCAGGAAACTCCAAAGTTGGAAGAAAAAAAAATGGAAGGTGTCGATCCAATCTTCTTCCTCTTTGCACCTTTCTTCTCGTTTCGCAAGTCGTTTTTTAATCACCTTTTTTTTTCAGTAGCACACCTTTCCTTTAAACGTATTTGTTTCCTGTACTTAAACAACACGAGCATTGGTCGGACAGGTGAGTCCGCTCAGGTGTGCAGTCGGACAGGTAAAGACGAATTTCTCCCACAGCGACTGGAATAACGGGAGTGTGTGTGCGTGGGTGAGAAAAAAACGGTGTATTGTATCCTGATCACACACACACACACACAGCCGACGGAGGTGGGTCGAAAAGCAGCAGCACAGGTACTCTTTTGAAAAAGCAGGAAACGGGCGCCACCGCGCATGCGCGTCAGAAATAACGGTGACAACAAACCAGGGAGAGTCTGGGCTCGGCCTCCGTTTACCTGTCGGACCGGTTTACCCTCCCTCCTCTCTCTCTCTCTCTCTCTCTCTCTCTCTCTCTCTCTCTCTCTCTCTCTCTCTCTCTCTCTCTCTCTCTCTCTCTCTCTCTCTCTCTCTCCACCTCTTCTCCATTCTGCTGTAAGGTGTGGGGAACAGTGCATATGACGGGGAATACTTTTAGGAAATGGGTGACGAAGGAGAGGACACAACAAGCTGGCACACATCATGTTGTTTACACTTTTTACGCTGCTACGGACAGTCTTGCACTAATGTACAGTACATTTCTCAAAGATATTGAAGTGACTGTTATTTTGTATAATGACTGTTGTGTGTGTGCATATGTGCAAATGTGTCTGTTGATTGTGTATATAGGTATTTTTATACCTATTTTTATATATATTTGTTTTTGTATTCGGGATTGTGGGAAACAGTATTTGGATCTCTCTGTCTGTACACACAAACTGAAAGATTGACAATAAAGTTGACTTTGACTTTGATCATGTCATTTTTTAACGTATGGGTTCATATAAGTCTTAAGTAACAATACAAAATGAATGTGTGTCACTCTAGCAGGTAATAGACCAACAATGACATGTAAGACCACATAAAATAGTTTACAAAGCAAAAGTGATATATGAGCAAACAGAAAACGCTCAATTTTAGGAAAACTGTTCTTACTATTGTTCATTTGTAACGTATTTGTTCATAAAAGTCTGAAGTAACAATAACAAAAGTAACAATAACAAAAGTATGCCTTTTATGCTGCTGTAACAAAAACAATTTCCCAATTTGGGATCAATAAAGTACGATCTATCTATCTATCTATCTAAATGGCACCTTTTGAGACACCCAATGACACCTTACAATGCAAGGAATACTGCACAGGTAAAAACAGCTACACATCATTTGGTTATTAACACTGGATGACAACAGCAGTCAAAAGTGAATTATTTTTAACCCCATCTAGCAAAAAAATAAGCCCCCCTGGATTGAGAGCGATGGTTTAAAAATGATATTCCGTTACCAGTACCTGTAATAAAGTGTCACCAGTAACCGAATAAGTATCCCAATGTAGAAGTAATGCCACCTGATAGGAAACAGTAATGTGTCCTCTGCTCATTTTAAGAAAAAAACTACCTTTTCTGAAACACACTCTTGCAGTTTTAGACCAACAATGAAATACAAGACCACATCAAATAGTTTACAAAGCAAAAGGGATATTTGAGCAAACAGAAAACGCTCTAATACCTGTATGAAGTTATATAGTACTATATGTGTTTTTTCTGGTGTAAATTATGTATTTGTACACATATCCTCAGGGGAGTTTGGGTCTGTCTTTGCTATTTGATCTTATGGTCATTGTTATCAATATTTGTACTTTTCTTTCAGGTCCTTTGGCTTTTGCAAAGACAAGAAAAACCAGATTTTACAAGTTTACACACTACCAGACAATGCTACTGATTCTTGTATGTTTTGTGATACTGCAGTTCAACAGCAGAGTACTTTATTTATTTATTTGTAGTGTAATATCAGAGCTGAAAGTACTAATACAGGCCTGTTAGGATGTAAATGAGTCATTCAGAGATCACTGTGACTCCCTGCTGAGTGTTTACAACCTCCTGCTGCTCTCCCACTGTTCTCCTGTCTTTGTAATTAACAAGGCACACACACACACACACACACACACACACACACACACACACACACACACACACACACACACACACACACACACACGCACATGCACACGCACACGCACACACGCACGCACGCACGCACGCACGCACACACACACACACACACACACACACACACACACACACACACACACACACACACACCTGTTTGTTTACCAAATAGAGAAATGAACATGTTATCATGATGGTCAACTAGATACAGGGAAATTAAATACAATGCTTTTCAAAATGTCAACATTTACAAACTCATTATTATCCTCTATGTGGAACAAACTCCTAAAAAGCTGCAACTCTCACTTCTTTAAATAAAAAATATACCTATTCATAACAAACACTGCACTGTAACTTTTATACTTGTATTTGACATCTGTTCTATTTTAACTTGTTCTTTTGACTTTTAATAGCTATTTCCCCCTATATCTAAAGATAACTGTATAAAATGTTTCTTTTGCATCATGTTTTAATCTCTCAATATGTTTTTGTAAAGCATTTTTACTGGCTTGTTGTCTAAATATGCCATATAAATAAACTTGCCTTGCCTTACTTCGACTTCAGTGACATGCAAATATAATATTCTGCGTGATATTTATTTTCTGAGGCCTTTATCCTGGCCGTTTGGTTCCTCTAACGCTGGCAGAGATTGTTGTTTTTGCCTTTTGTTCAGAGTATTCAAAGTCTCTCGGTGTTTTGTGTGTACTCCTCTCTCTATAGGCCGGGCGTCCCTGAGCGAAGGAGCTGTGCAGAGTTTCCCATTTGCATGTGCAAGATAAACAAAATCTAAAATAGCACGGACACACCTGGAACAGAAGCATGCAGCTTTATGTCGAGTGAAGAAGAGGAGTGGCGGATGAATGAGCGGTATGTTGTCGGAGTAGTTTGGGCGGATTAACTACTGCTCCTTCCTAACTGTCATCCGCACTATTATATACTCTATTATCCTCTTTAACCTCAAGCATTTACGGCGTCACCAAAACAGACGTCAGATGTTTATTATCAATAGAAGAGCTTATTTTTACCTTCACCCTAAAGCTACTCAGCACACAGGTACATCAGGTAAAGATGAAACACTCTCCAGTTCAACCTGATCCTCAAAACCCCTCGGACACTTCACCAGAGACGGGAAAGTACACTTTGCTCAAGTGGAAGTACAGATACTCGTGTTTAAAAATACTCTGGTAAAAGTAGAAGTACTGACTAAACTTCTTAACTCAAGTAAAAGTATGGGCTTTGAAATGTACTTAAGTAAAAAGTACCCATAACGAGCAGCTGTTTTAAAGAGTACCTGACCTCCCTTTATATTAATAGAACAATAATGTCATTGTTAGCTAATGAATGTTTCCATGCTGAACAACGGCAACATGACAACGTTTTCATTGGTCCCTCTTCTTTAGAGAAGACCAGGAAATGATGGATACACGGATCGTGTTCAAATCAATAGGCACGCAATGACTCTAAAGAATAATGATCACGCCACCAAACACACATTCAAACTAAAGGAACCAGCCTGTTTGGGAAATGTGAGAAGTAGAAAGTACAGGTATTTGTGTTCAACATGTAAGAAGTAGAAAGTACAGGTATTTGTGTTCAAAATGTAAGAAGTAGAAAGTACAGGTATTTGTGTTCAACATGTAAGAAGTAGAAAGTACAGGTATTTGTGTTCAACATGTAAGAAGTAGAAAGTACAGGTATTTGTGTTCAACATGTAAGAAGTAGAAAGTACAGGTATTTGTGTTCAACATGTGAGAAGTAGAAAGTACAGGTATTTGTGTTCAACATGTAAGAAGTAGAAAGTACAGGTATTTGAGTTCAACATGTAAGAAGTAGAAAGTACAGGTATTTGTGTTCAACATGTAAGAAGTAGAAAGTACAGGTATTTGTGTTCAACATGTAAGAAGTAGAAAGTACAGGTATTTGTGTTCAAAATGTAAGAAGTAGAAAGTACAGGTGTTTGTGTTCAACATGTAAGAAGTAGAAAGTACAGGTATTTGGGTTCAACATGTAAGAAGTAGAAAGTACAGGTATTTGTGTTCAAAATGTAAGAAGTAGAAAGTACAGGTATTTGGGTTCAACATGTAAGAAGTAGAAAGTACAGGTATTTGGGTTCAAAATGTAAGAAGTAGAAAGTACAGGTATTTGTGTTCAAAATGTAAGAAGTAGAAAGTACAGGTATTTGTGTTCAAAATGTAAGAAGTAGAAAGTACAGGTATTTGTGTTCAACATGTAAGAAGTAGAAAGTACAGGTATTTGTGTTCAAAATGTAAGAAGTAGAAAGTACAGGTGTTTGTGTTCAACATGTAAGAAGTAGAAAGTACAGGTATTTGGGTTCAACATGTAAGAAGTAGAAAGTACAGGTATTTGTGTTCAACATGTAAGAAGTAGAAAGTACAGGTATTTGTGTTCAAAATGTAAGAAGTAGAAAGTACAGGTATTTGGGTTCAACATGTAAGAAGTAGAAAGTACAGGTATTGGGTTCAACATGTAAGAAGTAGAAAGTACAGGTATTTGTGTTCAAAATGTAAGAAGTAGAAAGTACAGGTATTTGTGTTCAAAATGTAAGAAGTAGAAAGTACAGGTATTTGTGTTCAACATGTAAGAAGTAGAAAGTCGTCAGAAAAATAAGTAGTGGAGTAAAGTACTGATACCAGAAAAATGTACTTAAGTACAGTAACAAAGTACTTGTACTCCACTACTTCCCACCTCTGCACTTCACTGTTATTGATCTGCCATCTCTACTTCCTCCTCAGTAAAGGAACACAGATTTATTGCGGGGCTTTAAGTTAAATCAGCTGATGGATCAATGTACTGTCATTGTAGAGGCAACACAATGCAGTAATATACAGAAGTTATATATAGAATAACTAAAGAATTTGCAGTAGATGTAGTATGCAGAGGTGGGAGAAGTAGAAAGTAGAAGTACTCAGATCTTGTACTTGAGTAAAAGTAGAAATACCAGAGTGTAGGAATACTCTGTTACAGTAAAAGTCCTGCATTCAAAATGTTACTCAAGCTAAAGTAGAAAAGTATTATCATCAAAATATAATTAAAGTAGCGACAGTAAAAGTAGAAGTACTCGGATCTGGTACTTGAGTAAAAGTAGAAGTACTCAGATCTGGTACTTGAGTAAAAGTAGAAGTACTCAGATCTTGTACTTGAGTAAAAGAAGAAGTACTCAGATCTTGTACTTGAG